CTGTCTCTCTCTGTCTCAAAAATAAATAAACATTAAAATAATTTAAAAAAAATAAAAAATAATATTGTATGAGTTCAGGTGCACAACAATACATATGCACATGCGTTCTGCAAGTCCGGGTGCCATATTATCATACTGTTACCGTATTATTGACTATATTCCCCGTGCCTAGGAAGCTTCATTTATATTGTTCCTTTCAATCCTGTTCGTGCCCCCACAGGCAAACTTTCCCAAGCATGTCTTTTTTATTCCTGTGTATTCTTGGATGCTTAACTGGCACAGAGGTTCCTCTTGGGGAATGGCATGTCTTGGAACTAGGCTGGTGGCTGCACCACATCGTGACTGTACCAAATGCCACCGGACTGTATGCTTCAAAACGGGGTCAATGTTACGTTATGTGAATTTCACCTCATTTTTTAAAAATGTGTCTGGCCGTTGAGGGGGTGTTATTTACATGAGTGGAGTTGGGCTGTGGGCTGTACTTCTTTCTTATTTTTTCCACTCGTGCTGCGCTTTTTTTTTTAATGTTTTATTTTATTATTTGTTTGAGAGAGAGAGAGAGAGAGAGTGTGTGTGCAAGCAGGGAAGAGGGCAGAGAGAGAGGGAGACAGAGAATCCGAAGCAGGCTCCAGGCTCTGCACTGACAGCAATGAGCCCGACTCGGGGCTCGAGCTCACGAACCTCGAGATCACGACCTGAGCCGAAGTCAGACTCTTGAACCAACTGAGCCACCCAGGCGCCCCTCAGGCACCCCTCGTGCTCTGTTTTTAAGATCTAACAACCTAGTCTCATCTCCACTGGGCTTGTGGCTTCACACGTGACTGTCACATGGTGCCCTGGTGTGGGCGTGGCCACCTTTTGCACACACGCTCCACTGATGGGCACCTGGGGAAGCCCTGTCCCTGCCTCTACATGCACTTGACTGAATGGAGTGCTGCTGGATGGCCCCTCATTGGGGCCACTCCTGCTTACATCCTGCCAACACTGGCCAGTACCTACCTCTTTACTGCCTGGCAGCCTGATGGGTGGTAAGCAGTATCTTCTTATTATTCTGATTTGCATTTCTCTGATTATAAGTGAGTTTGAGTGGTCCTTTCTGTTCTCTGGTTGTTTACATTTCCTCTCCTGCAAATGGCCAGTTCATACCCTTTGCCCATTTTGCTATAGGGGCTGCAGTCTATCCGTCCTCACTTCACAGCCATCCCATGCGTATTCCAGAACCGCAGTCCCTTGTTGCTTAAGATGCACAAATATCATCCTCCTCCTGTCTGCCGTGTTGCCGGTGGAGTCCTCCTCTGAACCAAGATCCTGAATTCCAGCTGGATATTTTTGAGGAACTTGATAAACTTACCCTAAAATATATGGAGGGGACGCCTGGGTGGCTCAGTCGGGGTTGAGTGTTCGACTTTGACTCAGGTCACAATCTTACGGTTCATGGGTTCGAGTCGCACATCGGACTCTCGGCTGTCAGCACAGAGTCCGCTTCGGATCCTCTGTCCCCCCACCCCCCCCGTCCCTCCCCCACTTGCTCTCTCTCTCTCAAAAATCAATAAACATTTAAAATATATGGAAGAATAAAGATCTGTAAGTGGCTAACTGACTTTGAGAAAAAAAGAGGGGAGGACTGGCCCTGCCTGCTGTTAGCACAGACTACGAAGCCCCGGTCGGGAAGACAGTATGATCCGGGTACAAAAACAGCCAGATGGGCGACAGAACGGATCCGCCGGTTCAAAGGGAGCTGAACTCAGCCCCAGGTCCACGGGTTAAGGATGGAATGGTTAGTCGGGTTGAGGACATGGGCTCACTCTATGGAGAAAAATTACCACCGAAGCAGACTTAGTCTCTTCTAAGAAGGTGACTCCAAAGCGATAAAAGACAGACCTAGATAGGAAAAGCAAGAGGAGAATAAACCGTTGGAGAATATCTTTGTAACATAGGAGGGGGAGAACTTGAAACAAAACCCCAAGTGCACACACCATAAGGCAAAACCGGAGGGCCTGCAGCCTTATCCAGAGGAAGTGGCATTTCCTCCCGGATGCCAGCCTCGGCCCTGCCCACCTGGTGAGTCATGGGCGCACTTGAGGCTGGCAGCCCGGCCCGCCCTTCCCGTCGGTCCCCAGGAGGGAGTAGTGCAATGCCCGCCTTATCTCACCCTTGCCCGCAGCCCTGCAGACATGAGGTCAGGGCTGGGATGCAATGAGGGTGGGAGGCAGGAGGCAGCAGAGGGGTCAGGGAGGGGTCAGGGAGAGGTCAGGGGTCGCTGGCAAATGCTGCACAGGAAAAGCAGACCCTTGAAGGACCCCGGCCAGCTGCCAGGGCTGGGGGAGGTGAAAGGCTAATGCCATCAGGAGGTGGCAGGGGCGAGGGGACGGGGACACGTGTGGCATCCTCGTGGAACAGAGGGCCCTAGACTAAGATCTCCAGTGTAGGGCTCCATCTGTGCCCCCCTACCTCACTGCTCCTCCCAGAATCCTCTCTGGTTTTTCCAATGCTTCTTTAGAGCCAGACCTTCCAGCCAAGACATAGCCAGACTGAGAAGCCATTGAGAGACCTGGCAAGGATGTGTCTACCCTTCCCAGTGTGTCTATACTCCACCAGGGTGTGGCCCTGGGGTGCTCCAGGTAGCTGTGCCTCACCCCTTTGGTCATCCAACAGAGGGCCACCCAACACAGGCCCCAGCGCTGACCCCAAGGCTCTCCGAGTCCGGGGTGGGACAAGTGCCCCTCAACAGCAGGGTACGTGTGTGTCTGGATGTGTGGGGCCAAGCTAGGCATGTGGACACCCACACGTGTCTGTGACTGTGCGTGTGCAAATATCCAACCATCTGTCCCCTTTGTTTTGTCCCCGAGTCTATGCCAGCTGAACCAACGGCTCTTTTCCAGAAGGTTCCCTAACCCCTGGGACAACCGTCCTCCAGCCTGCCTCTGGGCATCCTGACCAGCGGTGGGCAGCAGTCTGCATGTTGGGCAGTCGGTTGGTCAACGATGAGCTATTCCGGGGTGCACAGGTCTGCCCTGAGGGGTTTACAGCCCGGGCAGCCCCCTTTTGCCAGCTAGCAGGGACGGGAGGGGCTACAGTTGTCCACTCTGGCCAGCGCCGCTGGTCCCTGCAGCTGGACGGGGCCCCAGGGGCCCTTCCCCATCCCCAGGGTGCCAGTCCATACCTCCCTCCACCCACCCACCTCCCCAGCATTGAACCCAATCGCATGGAGAGAGAGCATTAGCCAGATTGTCCTGAATATAGAGCTAAGTGGCTGCTGTTACTGACGGAGAGAGAGAGAGAGAGGGAGAGATTTGCACACACACACACGCACACACGTACATATACATACACATATCGTAAAATACCACAACTCCTTTTTGAACCAATGTGTTCAGTTTGTGAAAATTCACACTTGAGTTGAGAGCCCCCCGTCAACCTACAGAACTCGGTCAAGCCCCCCCG